GCTTAGTTAACGGCACCCTTGCGTTACTGTTCGGCCGCTCGACTTGTCCAAGTCCCATACTGTATAAGTGCATATCATTTTTCTAAAGTATGCGCAAGATGTATTCTGATCTCTATACTCTGGTTATAATGATAACAGTCCACCATTTATAAAGCATGACGTTAACATGGAGTAACAAGACATAATCAATATTTATTTCTGTTCACTTCTACAAAGTGTTCGTTTGAACTTATCTGCATGTACCACTTTCTGTGACACAAACAAAATCTAGTATTACATACGTAATGATGCTATAAATCACATGGTGACATAATCTATGCGGCCTTTTGTTTTTGTAATTTAACCTATACTGTGATATATTTCAAGTAAGTCTAATAATAATTATAAGGGTAGTGATGAATATGATAATAATGATAATATGATAATAAATATTATTTCTTTTATGTACTATCTGGCAAAATCGAGAAATGATCTAAAAACACTTAAATGATATAATATTAAGTCAATCTAAAAATTTAGTTAGTTTATTCTAAGTTCCAACATAACATAGGGTTTATAGTATGCAAAACAATAGAACCCTTTTTTTATTTGCTTTTTGAATTGCTTGTACTTGAGCAGAAATACTTGATTCACTTTAAGAAACATTGAATTTAATTATGCATGATTGGTTCTCAACCTCTCTTCTCCCTTAACTTTATTTGATTTGTATGAAAACGTGATGAATTTAACATTTGTCAAGATGCGTTCTGAAAGCATTCCATTTTTTAGCATTAAAATCCAGACACTTTGAAAAGGTCAAACGAGGCTGCTACCATATAGCTTTCAATTAAACGCACATTGGGTCAATAATTCTGAGTAATTCTTGTTTGGATGCGAAATGAATCACAAATCGGAGTAGTTAAAATCAATGAGTATGCTTTTCTAAAAGTTAGGGTTTGAATGATAATAGAAACGAAGAGCATTCACATGTTCTTTATATTACTGTTCATCTATTGTACAATGAAATATCATAGCTAGTGTAGAAAGCATTCACATGTTCTTTATATTTACTGCTCATCTATATTGTACAATAAAATATCATAGCTAGTATGGATAGCATTCACATGTTCTTTATATTACTGCCTGTCTCTTATACACATCTAGATGTGTATAAGAGACAGATGTTGAATCGTTCATACATAAATTTGATCAAAGTTATCCTATGAAAGAATTGATTGTTAATTAATCTTTATTAGGTTTCGTTATATTTAAAGCGCAAGTTTTTGCTGTGTCAAAGTGTAGCAAATAATGAGGTCGTACTGTGGAAAAGGTCCTTGAAGTCGTAGCGTAACCCTGAACACTGACTTGCTGAATTGTGTACGGGTGTGGTCTGTGACTACTTAACCGCTGTAAAGAGCTGCTAGCTACATGTTCACATCATTCCACAACTGTAGAGGCTGAAATAAACCATAGCATTGGGGTAACCCCTATTCTTCTGAAAAGATGGATTCTTTAAAGCTGGCCTCCATGTCCAGGTCCTTATCGATAAGACTTGCTTCTACCAACCAAACAATGGGCAAGGAGCATCTCAAGCCAGCGCTGATGTTAAGGCTTAGTTAACGGCACCCTTGCGTTACTGTTCGGCCGCTCGACTTGTCCAAGTCCCATACTGTATAAGTGCATATCATTTTTCTAAAGTATGCGCAAGATGTATTCTGATCTCTATACTCTGGTTATAATGATAACAGTCCACCATTTATAAAGCATGACGTTAACATGGAGTAACAAGACATAATCAATATTTATTTCTGTTCACTTCTACAAAGTGTTCGTTTGAACTTATCTGCATGTACCACTTTCTGTGACACAAACAAAATCTAGTATTACATACGTAATGATGCTATAAATCACATGGTGACATAATCTATGCGGCCTTTTGTTTTTGTAATTTAACCTATACTGTGATATATTTCAAGTAAGTCTAATAATAATTATAAGGGTAGTGATGAATATGATAATAATGATAATATGATAATAAATATTATTTCTTTTATGTACTATCTGGCAAAATCGAGAAATGATCTAAAAACACTTAAATGATATAATATTAAGTCAATCTAAAAATTTAGTTAGTTTATTCTAAGTTCCAACATAACATAGGGTTTATAGTATGCAAAACAATAGAACCCTTTTTTTATTTGCTTTTTGAATTGCTTGTACTTGAGCAGAAATACTTGATTCACTTTAAGAAACATTGAATTTAATTATGCATGATTGGTTCTCAACCTCTCTTCTCCCTTAACTTTATTTGATTTGTATGAAAACGTGATGAATTTAACATTTGTCAAGATGCGTTCTGAAAGCATTCCATTTTTTAGCATTAAAATCCAGACACTTTGAAAAGGTCAAACGAGGCTGCTACCATATAGCTTTCAATTAAACGCACATTGGGTCAATAATTCTGAGTAATTCTTGTTTGGATGCGAAATGAATCACAAATCGGAGTAGTTAAAATCAATGAGTATGCTTTTCTAAAAGTTAGGGTTTGAATGATAATAGAAACGAAGAGCATTCACATGTTCTTTATATTACTGTTCATCTATTGTACAATGAAATATCATAGCTAGTGTAGAAAGCATTCACATGTTCTTTATATTTACTGCTCATCTATATTGTACAATAAAATATCATAGCTAGTATGGATAGCATTCACATGTTCTTTATATTACTGCCTGTCTCTTATACACATCTAGATGTGTATAAGAGACAGATGTTGAATCGTTCATACATAAATTTGATCAAAGTTATCCTATGAAAGAATTGATTGTTAATTAATCTTTATTAGGTTTCGTTATATTTAAAGCGCAAGTTTTTGCTGTGTCAAAGTGTAGCAAATAATGAGGTCGTACTGTGGAAAAGGTCCTTGAAGTCGTAGCGTAACCCTGAACACTGACTTGCTGAATTGTGTACGGGTGTGGTCTGTGACTACTTAACCGCTGTAAAGAGCTGCTAGCTACATGTTCACATCATTCCACAACTGTAGAGGCTGAAATAAACCATAGCATTGGGGTAACCCCTATTCTTCTGAAAAGATGGATTCTTTAAAGCTGGCCTCCATGTCCAGGTCCTTATCGATAAGACTTGCTTCTACCAACCAAACAATGGGCAAGGAGCATCTCAAGCCAGCGCTGATGTTAAGGCTTAGTTAACGGCACCCTTGCGTTACTGTTCGGCCGCTCGACTTGTCCAAGTCCCATACTGTATAAGTGCATATCATTTTTCTAAAGTATGCGCAAGATGTATTCTGATCTCTATACTCTGGTTATAATGATAACAGTCCACCATTTATAAAGCATGACGTTAACATGGAGTAACAAGACATAATCAATATTTATTTCTGTTCACTTCTACAAAGTGTTCGTTTGAACTTATCTGCATGTACCACTTTCTGTGACACAAACAAAATCTAGTATTACATACGTAATGATGCTATAAATCACATGGTGACATAATCTATGCGGCCTTTTGTTTTTGTAATTTAACCTATACTGTGATATATTTCAAGTAAGTCTAATAATAATTATAAGGGTAGTGATGAATATGATAATAATGATAATATGATAATAAATATTATTTCTTTTATGTACTATCTGGCAAAATCGAGAAATGATCTAAAAACACTTAAATGATATAATATTAAGTCAATCTAAAAATTTAGTTAGTTTATTCTAAGTTCCAACATAACATAGGGTTTATAGTATGCAAAACAATAGAACCCTTTTTTTATTTGCTTTTTGAATTGCTTGTACTTGAGCAGAAATACTTGATTCACTTTAAGAAACATTGAATTTAATTATGCATGATTGGTTCTCAACCTCTCTTCTCCCTTAACTTTATTTGATTTGTATGAAAACGTGATGAATTTAACATTTGTCAAGATGCGTTCTGAAAGCATTCCATTTTTTAGCATTAAAATCCAGACACTTTGAAAAGGTCAAACGAGGCTGCTACCATATAGCTTTCAATTAAACGCACATTGGGTCAATAATTCTGAGTAATTCTTGTTTGGATGCGAAATGAATCACAAATCGGAGTAGTTAAAATCAATGAGTATGCTTTTCTAAAAGTTAGGGTTTGAATGATAATAGAAACGAAGAGCATTCACATGTTCTTTATATTACTGTTCATCTATTGTACAATGAAATATCATAGCTAGTGTAGAAAGCATTCACATGTTCTTTATATTTACTGCTCATCTATATTGTACAATAAAATATCATAGCTAGTATGGATAGCATTCACATGTTCTTTATATTACTGCCTGTCTCTTATACACATCTAGATGTGTATAAGAGACAGATGTTGAATCGTTCATACATAAATTTGATCAAAGTTATCCTATGAAAGAATTGATTGTTAATTAATCTTTATTAGGTTTCGTTATATTTAAAGCGCAAGTTTTTGCTGTGTCAAAGTGTAGCAAATAATGAGGTCGTACTGTGGAAAAGGTCCTTGAAGTCGTAGCGTAACCCTGAACACTGACTTGCTGAATTGTGTACGGGTGTGGTCTGTGACTACTTAACCGCTGTAAAGAGCTGCTAGCTACATGTTCACATCATTCCACAACTGTAGAGGCTGAAATAAACCATAGCATTGGGGTAACCCCTATTCTTCTGAAAAGATGGATTCTTTAAAGCTGGCCTCCATGTCCAGGTCCTTATCGATAAGACTTGCTTCTACCAACCAAACAATGGGCAAGGAGCATCTCAAGCCAGCGCTGATGTTAAGGCTTAGTTAACGGCACCCTTGCGTTACTGTTCGGCCGCTCGACTTGTCCAAGTCCCATACTGTATAAGTGCATATCATTTTTCTAAAGTATGCGCAAGATGTATTCTGATCTCTATACTCTGGTTATAATGATAACAGTCCACCATTTATAAAGCATGACGTTAACATGGAGTAACAAGACATAATCAATATTTATTTCTGTTCACTTCTACAAAGTGTTCGTTTGAAGAATTTATTCACAGTTTCCCTGTATTTTTCAGGATATATGCAATCCATTTGACTGGACAAATTTCTATTAATAAAAACTTATATTTATAGTTTATACTTAAACTTGACCAGCTTTAACCATTTTATTCACAGTTTACCTATATTTTTCAGGATATATGCAACCTATTCAACTGACTCTTTATATTACTTTTAGGCAACTATAATAATTTAAGTTACTGTAATGATTATTTGCAAAGTAATTACTCCATCCATTCAAATAAAATGCAAAACTTCAAAGTAGCAGCGCAGAGTAGTAAACAGAAAATTCATAGGCTATTCGAGGCCCACTATACCAGCAGAGGTGTTATCGTCACACTCTTTGACTTTCTTGGCCTAGCATGCTCACACTTGCAACATTTGTTGATTCTTAATATATATAACAATGTCATATGTGAATTAATTCATGTTGCTTTCATATTTTTGGCACATTTTCCTTAGAAACAAAAAAGAGTGTTTAATGATTGAGACATTACAGTCAAAGTTTGAGGAATTCGTTTCGCACTGAACAACCTTCCACATCTGGACTGCCCCTGTTCCTACTATAACCTACAGTAGACCAATAAACATGAGGACAAACATGGAAAAAGCAATGAGAATTAAAATCAAAATAGTATTAAACCAAATCTTAATTCTGAGTGGATGTTACTGCCCTAAATCAAATACAGTACAGGCATACAATAACATCCAATCAGAAAAAAGAATTAGTTTAAGACTAGTGTAGCAAGAGCATGCCGCCATACAACAAAACTGGATCGTCTTTTAAGACTTTCCATGTTTACCCTGCACAGCTATCATCAAGGGATCTGATATCGGCTGATTCTGGGTTAAATATTGTTAAGCCTGTATCTGTGCTTGGAGCTGCTGCAGCTGTTGTGGCAGGAGAAATTGTCTTGCTGAGAGGTCATTACCCTCCAAAGCAAGCATGTTGTCTTCCAATACTATATTCATCCTACCACATTCCTCCATCATTTCATTAACAATAATGCCTGATAAACTGCAATAACTCGTGTCAATATGGCTCAGGTCTGGAGAAATCTTAAAAAGGCAAGCTAATGTTCTACCACTGAATGAAGATAGGTTAATCTTACTCAAATCTATGCTTTTCCAATTCAGCAGTCTCATATTTACACGATTCAACCAGCCTTTGTAGGTTATCAGCTGAAAGAGAATAATCACTCCATCTGAAAGGTTCAATAGCACTATAATGCTTATAAGGAGGATGATGAATTACTCTGACTAACTCTACAAGTGATTTACCATCAATATCTGAAAGGTCATTGCCCTTTAGTACAAGCATGTTGTCTTCCAATACTATATTCATCCTATCACATTCCTCCATCATTTCATTAACAATAATGCCTGATAAACTGCAATAACTCATGTCAATATGGCTCGTGTCTGGGGAAATCTTAATAAGG